TGTAATTATATGAATGTGATGTTCTATTTTCATTGTGAACGATGATTCTGAGAAATTTGGATACACACACACTCAGCATTAATGAGCTTGCAGGTCTCTTTCTCTGTGGCCTTTTCTTTTGCTCATTAGCCTCCCTCGGGTCAGTTTTTAAGGCACCTAAACTGCTGTGCCTTGCCTAATTGCCTCCTACCTTTAAACTCAAAGATTTCTGTGTCATCTAACTGGGCGTCACATGCTGGCTGAGAGCAGTTTGTTACTATCCCTTCACTTTGTGGGGTGGCATCTTTTGTACCTTATAGATCCTGGCAGGAGAAAAATGCCCATAATACCCATTAAAGGCTAACTGAATGCATGACTTATTTCCTCCTTTATTCATCTTCATCACCTCATCATCACCACTGTTATCCTAAATATTTTTAGAGCGTATATCATATATCAAAACACTTTCGAATGGTTTTAACAAAATACAGGGGGCGGGGGCAGTAGTAGGTTTACAGTTGTTGGTATGGGAAATAGATAATACAAGAATAAATAATAATACAAAAATCAATTCTTGTGTTTCACGTGCTCACAACTATAAATCTACTTTCAACATATATATATGTATATATGTGTGTGTGTATATATACACACACACACACACACACACACACACACACATATATATAATGTTTTCTTCCTAAATATAAATATTAAAGCCAGTTTCCTTCAAGACCAACCTGAATGTTATAGCCTCTAATGTATGGAAACTAACAGACAAGACAATTTTTCATGCTTTCATTTCTTTGTTCATCTGTTAAAACTTAATATATTTAGCTAAACTATACATTAATGGCCCAATGCATTTTATCCTTGGGTTGCTGTGACATTGAAACTCTACCCTTGGTTTTAGTGGAAGGCCTCATTTCCTATTCCTGGAGCTCGCAGCATTCTATTTGACATTTGATGCCCATGAGATTTTTATAGAATCTAGGTTATAAGATTGAGTCTCTCGCCACATATTTTTGAATAGGGATCTGTGTTACTTTTCCCAGAGGTGTTCTGCATTATACCTTTCTTTGAAATGGCTTTTGATTATTTAAAAAGAAGCCTCCAGTGATTAAAAAAAAACCTTTTGCAAAATAATCACCATTGACTGGAGAGCTTTTTATTTGTTGTAAAGAGAATTTGTTCAGAGAAAAGAAAGCAGTAATGATCCCCTCTAATACCTGTAACGCAAAGTGAAAAACCATGTTAAAGTTACAGTGATAAAGTGAAAAAAATGTTTCCTACTGGAAATTTCAGTGAAAGTGGAAGGTTTTTTGAATTTTTGAAAAGATTACTCAGTAAATGTGTTTAAAATGAATAGGACATATGACTCAATACGAAGGCTTTAGTTCACAGGCAGTAAAAGTTGCCTTTCTAATCTACCTGACAAAGACATGCATTTAGCTATTTAATCTCCTAAAATATACAATTCATAATCAATTATAATAACTTATCGAAAATAGAGTCATTTAAAGTATTTTAGTCCCATAGACTGAGCAAAATTAATAGTAAGATGTTTGGTATCTCATAAAATGACATGTCCTAATGTAATTGTTACTTAAATGTTATACTTAGCACAAAATCATAATAGCTTCATGAGATCTGCTTTATATCTAGCTGTATACACTGGCTAAATTGGTGTATTTAACTTGAAATTTGATTAAATTTAGAATTTACTATCTCTGGTATAATATAAATGATAAGATATTCAAATATAATAGGACCACTCTAAATTATACAAATCTATCAATAGAAATATGTGTGTGTTTTTTTATTACAGTTTCATCCATTGCTTAGTATAGTAACTAACACATTGCCTAGACTGGTGTGGACATGATTAAGTGCACAAAAAATGCTTTAAGAAAAAAAAAAGTCAATTCATTTTGACTAAAGCCAAATGATGATCATCTTCGAGTAAACGATTTATAACAATGAGAATAAAACGAACCTTCAACAAATCTTCCCTCATGTGCCACACACTGTGTTAAGATTAACAATAAATATTATTCTGTGTAATAGTCACAAAAATATCATGTAGTACACAATATTCTTGCCCTCAGAAAACAGATTTCATCGAATGACCTCCTCAAATAACACAACTAGTGCGTGTTAAAGCTCATACTCTCTCACAGCCACTGCACTCTCTCCATCTATGAACTTAGGTATAATGTAGATAGTACTTAAATTATTAAATTCAAATTTCATAGCAATAAGGTAAGAGAGTTTGTTTTTATAATGAAATATTTACATAATTTATATCTTGCCTTTTCTAAAAATGCTAGGTAAGATTTTAATCTTTATCAGTTAATTAATTGTCATAATCACTATCATCACCACGTAATTTACATCCCCTTAGATATTATGAGCTATTATATTTACTGTGTAGTTACTCTGATCTAGGCACTGTGCTAATTAATGCACCTCTACAGATTTATCTTATTTATTGCTTACTATCAAATATTGATGTATTTTGGCTATTCTGGGCCAGGCTTGATATGCCTAATATGTAAGGAGTCATCAACATGTGAGACGATATTTTAGGTGCATTTTGAAGCAATTGTATTGCTTTATACAGGATAATATTTCCAAAATTACTGGGAAGTAAAATGTTATATTTCTATTAGCATTTTCCTAAGAAGTGATGCTGAGGAAAATGATTGTTTCTCTCAATTATATAGGCTGGTTCTGTTAAGGATATAAGTGAAGAATCACGCTATTTCTTTTCAGTTTGCCAAATTACAGTTCTAATGCATCCATGTAGAGTTGACATTTGAGTTTCAGCATACAAAAAGTGTTTTAAATTGATAGTTCTGCTGAGGAAGCAAAGAAATACACACTAGTGATGCAGTCCTACATATCACATTGTTTTTCATATATTACCCACATTATTGTTTTTCTTCAGAATGATTATTTTCCATAACATTTATTTGTTTACATACAATTCTTCTATAGCCCTCAGAATATGTACAACAAATTGGCTAAGGAATCATTATAGTTGGACAGGTATTAATTTTTATAGTTGGTTATTGACTGCACATTGACATAATATGATCAGTTCACCGAATTTTTTCATTTTTTGACATTGTTGTCATCAAGAAATGCATGAGATCATATCTCAAGCTCATCATGCTTCAACCACTTGCTTCACACAGCTTTCCTTCAGTGAAGATGAGGGTATTAGACAGGACTTTAAAATCCTTCTCCTCAGTTTTCATGTATTCTTTTTTTCCCACTCAAAACTCCTGTTTGTCATTTGGTAGTATGGACAGAATTTTCAAAAAAAAAAGTTCAAATAAAAATAAATTGATTATCTACAAAGGAGGATTGATTTCCATTTGTTTGCTTCTGTTTTGTGATGGTTGTTATTGGATGCCTATGTGATATGACATGTCACGAGTTACATTGCTCTGAAGTTGGTTTAATCTAGCAAAAGTTGTGAAGTTTGTGTCATTTGAGCCAGAGACAATTAATGGTGCATTTGACACTGGAGGTGTTAAGTATCTTTATTTTAAGAACTTTTAATTAAAAGTAACTTTAGGCTTCCCCAAATAGGATTTTGTGACAGTTTATTAAGGTTTAACTGAAACTAAATTTGTATTACCAAGATTGGAAATATTCTTTAATTCAGAAATCCCATAATCAGTTTTGTTTTAATGAACATTGCTGATGGGATTAGAATTTATTTTAAAAGCTTTAAAAGTGGCATTTTATAGCAAGATAAAAATTTGTTTCTGTTTAAACCCAAGTGAAATCATATACTTACAATCCAAGTAAGAGTATTTTTCTAATCACCACACATTCCGAACAAATCCTATCGGTTGTCCATGGACCAAGTAGTGCCACTACCTTAATCTGTGTAAATAAAGAATTAAATGTTTGAATTAAAGGAATGGAATATTCCATTATAAAATTGAATGGGATATTCAGTTATAAAAATGGGATATCGAATTATAAAATTCTCTGTTTAAGAATTAAAGAAATATTATGATTTTTCTTAAAGTGTATTAATAAGCTAATATACTTTTAATCAGGATATTAACTGTGTCTATATAAAGGTCATTGTAATGCAATATTTTTTCCAATATCTGTTGTCTTTATTAGGTTGTATAAAATAACACTTAAAAATTCTCTAATCATGTTTTGAATAGAGAATAATATAAGCAGTAGATACTCCTCTGGTAGGCACAACAAATGCAAGTATGATTTGTCAGCATTACTGACTGTGTCCAAGCAATTGATAAAGATGTATTAAGTAATCAGGTTATATTAGAATAGAAATATCTATGCAAATAGTAGTCTTCTAATTTGTTCATTTTATAAGCAAAGCTGGCAGATGGTATATATTGGTGTATATTTCCAAAATCCATCAGTTGAAAGTGTTTGTTTCTAAATTATCAATCAGATTTTATTAGAAGAGGACATTAAGTTTCAGGGTCTCATTTGTCATCTTGGCTTAAAGGATAACAACAAACTGTGATGTGTAATTTTTATTCTTATTCATTGCGTTATTTCTTCCAAAATCACTAGTGAAGGTAAAGCCAGGATTTTAAAAAGGCCAGTCCTTAAAAAAATAAAAATAAAATCAAAAGCCAGTCCTTGTTCCATAATCTTCTGTGTGCTGTATGTAAAATATCTATCAGTTATTTATATCATAATTATAGCCACATATTGACTTACTAAAATTAATTGATGAAAATAATTTTAAGGTGAGATTTACACAGGTTGAGATTTCCTGAGACCAATGGCTTTGGGGAAGGGGGTTGGACAAAGAATTTTGAAAACTACCTTGAAGCTTTAGTAAAGTGAAGTCTTCTATGAGGTAGGTAGGCTGTTTTTTGTGAATGTTAGAATGAAGACTAGCTAATTTCCTGGGACCGGGAGAGATGAGGGGGTCAATGGCAAACCTATTCACCATTGAGCTGCTTTATAATCCCTTCTATTGTAAATGTGTCCACCTCTGTCTTGTCTTTCAGTTCTCCACAAGCAGCCCAGAGAAGTGTGTCTCTGTTTGCTAGAGCTGGGCCGGATTGCAGCCAGGTAGGTCAGAATACTGCTACTATGTCAAGACATGAACCATCTCAGCATCCAAGCATCTAAGAAGCTTAATGGCTTTTGATTGCTGATGTTGAGCCTGTTGAGAAGCTATTTATTCAAATATGTATCAACATCTCAAGAGCAGTCATTCAGACTAAAAGCATGCCACCAATGTTCTTACCATTGTGATCTTGTTGTTAAAGCCACTCATATAGCCCTAACCGGTGTGGCTCAGTGGATAAAGCATCGGCCTGCGGACTGAGGGGTCCCAGGTTCGATCCAGGAAAAGGGCATGTACCTTGGTTGCAGGCACATCCCCAGTGGGAAGTGTGCAGGAGGCGGCTGATGTTTCTCTCTCATTGATGTTTCTAACTCTCTATCCCTCTCCCTTCCTCTCTGTAAAAAATCAATAAAATATATTAAAAAAAATAAAGCCACTCATATAAACCGTATGTGACAATTACTTTTACCTTATTGGAAAGTCTATCCCATTATATTCTTTCCTTAATCCTTCACGCTTCTTCCTCTTTACTCTTTACTAATGTTTAGCTTCCTCTTTTGTTCATTTTTTTTCTCATTTTCTCCACTCAATATCTCATCTCTTAGCTATTTTAGTTTCTAATTCTGAGTAGGGGAATAGTTTTAAAATTATTCTCCATATTTTTATTAGGGGAATATGTAGAATATAATTATTCTTACATAGAGATATCTTTAGAATCTTTGCCTTCTAGCAAAAAATAAATAAGAAGCAACTGTAGAAATCATAATTATGGTTAAATAGACAGAGGGAGGGACTTTATTAGTCAAGCTGACTTTATGCCATGTCTTCTTTTGTATCTTGCAAACCATTAAGCAGGGTTTCAGACAGCCCCAAAAATTAGAAATGAAGATTTAAATCTTTAAGAAGTCTTAATGAAAATTTAAAATTAAGAATAAATTAGATGTTTTCTCATCCAGATCTGGGTATACTGTTAGAGCTGATTTCAGATGAACCAATAAGATCTCAATTAATGACTTGCTGCCATCGAAATGCTAGGTAAAAGAAACATGGGTCATCTAGAGTTCTTCATTAGCAGATGAAGCAAACAACTTTTTGTTTAGTTGTTTGTTTTGATTATACTGTCAGAATATTCTAAAATGCAGATTACATATTGTTGCTTTAATATTGTAACTATATGAATCAAATAAGCATCATGAATCTGAAAGTTGAGATATAGAAGTAAAGAGGAGTTGCACTATCTACAGAGTTAGTTGGGGATTGTCATTTTCTTCTTGTTTAGTTTCTATTATTTGCCTATTTTCTGGATTTATTTATTATTTATTTATTTTTGTAATTATACTTTTTGTTACCTGAACACTTTGAGTAGGAGACCTGCTGAACTGAACATTTTAACTATGATCAAATCATCAAAGGAGAAGACATAATACCCAATGACAAAATCCCTTTAAAAATCACCTTTCCTCCAGCTCTACATCTGACATAAATTGCCCCTTGCCATAGAATATAAAGCAAATTAAAATCTTGGTTATTAAAAAGGAATCATGATGGTCTGTTCAGTTTCAAGGTAAAGCATATGTGAAGAATTTGACATTTTCCTTTTCCACCCAAATATTTTAAAATTGAGATTCTGTGTTGCTTTTAAAAAAAACAACAAAAAAACTGTATTGAGATATGATTGACCTACAAAAAGCTGTATGTATTTAATGTATACAACTCGATGAGTTTGGGGATAACTATACATCTGTGAAACCAGCATCATAATCTATGCCATAAACATATCCATCACCTCCAAAACTTTCCTCCTGCTATCTATGATTATCATTATTATTTATGATAACAATGGGTTTCTCCATTTCTCTCTATACTTATGATCATGCAAGCTGACAAAAGCAGTTTTTATTCATGCTGCAAAGAAAATATTATTAATCTCATAAAGGAGTTATCTAACTAGTAAGATTATCCTTACATTATAATACTTGATTTGTAAATTTTGCTTTTTATTTTCTTCACCTACTTGAGTGGTGTGAAGTATTGCACACTTTCACTGAAACAGAGGAAATATGCCAAGAGATTGTTCAGGGTGTGCCGTTGTACATTTTGTGTACCACATAATGTTAAACAGTTGAAAATGAATTGGGTAGATGGAACATTTAAGTATCAGAGTCTATTGATTCTCTCAGTACACATTTGAAGATTTCTGTATTTATGGATGTTCAATTGTGCTTTATAGACAATGGCAAACTGATCAACCCAAATCCCATTTCCTTAGCTCTATGCTGAAGCATATTAGTTAAAGAGAAAAAAAGAAAATATATCCCCCAATCTCATTTTACTCCCATATTATATATATATATGAAACCTTTATCTACATCCTTACTTTGTGCTTCTTTCTTGTTTAACTCCTCCGTGGAGGCTTATATAAATTATTAAGGTAAGATAGTTTTAGCCAAAACTAAAAGTGATTTTGGGAGAGCTCTCAAGAATCACGACATTCATTTGTATACACAACAGATGAGTTTTGGGCATAACAAAGTTCCCAATACAATCTTGAGTTTTTTATCACTAATAGATGATGCTTTTTTATATTTGATTCTAAACATTTCTCCTTAAATTACATAAATGTCATCTTAAAAGCATCAACGTCACTTCGGATATGATTTGCAAAATGCTTCTGGTTTTCTGCCGTGTTCTCCTGCGTGGGATCATTCAGGGAAGCCCCTTGGGCTTCTCTGAGCTCCGAGATGGGAGGATGAGACCACTTACTTTTGTTCTCATGGGTAAAACTTCCTTTTATTTCAACCAAATAGAGTTACCATCACTGGAGAGTGAAATCCCTCCATTAACATTTCAGAAACCGTGTCAGTTTCTGGGTGTAAAATATGCATGTTTGCCTTCTGAAAAGTAAAACACTCAGCAACGGGAGGTCAATAATGGCAGTGTTTTGATATTTTCCTTAAAAAAAAAGTTGCTGTGAATTTAACTTTTTCTACAGACTGCAGAATTAAGATTAGCTTTACAATAATAGTAAAACACTTGATATTTTGGTTTGGGGCCATAATCAATCATCAGCATCATACTGAAGCTTTTTATATTTTTGAGAACTTCCTTGATTTTGAACAAAATTCATTACTACTAAAAAGAAATATACCTTATTTATCTTATTTTTTTAATCTTTATTGTTGAAAGTGTTACATATGTTGCCTTTTGTTCCCCATTGATTCCTTATAACTTGCACCCACCCCATGCCCCAGGCCTTCACCACCCTTCGTCTGTGTCTATGGGTTATGCATATATGCATACAAGTTCTTTGGTTGATCTCCTCCCACCTGCCCACCTATCTTCACCTTCCCTCTGAGAGTTGACATTCTGTTCTATGAAAAAACAAAACAAAACAAAAAACTTTAAAATAATTTTGTTAGTCTTCTATTTCAATCCATGGCCAAACAAAATGTTTCATAAAAATATTCTTTTACAAGACTTATTAATTAATTCATCCTATTTAAAGCACTTGTCTCTGACTGCTAAGAATATCATGTTTTCACATGGGTGAAATTTCCTTTCAAATCTAAATCTATCTTTAAATTACTTTAAGACGGAATAAAAATGGGGCAAAAACTATCTTGCAAGAATCTATAAACTGTTACAAGCTTTAAAAAGAGGCCGTAGTCAGTTTTCTCAGTGGTTAGAACATCTGCCTGTGAACTGAAGGGTCCCAAGTTCATCTGGTCAAGGGCACATGCTGGGTTGTGGGCTCAATCCCCGGTGGGGGCGAGCAGGAGGCAGCCAATCAATGATTCTCTCTCATCATTGATGTTTCTGTCTCTCCCTCTCCCTTTTCTCTGAAATCAATAAAAATATAAAATAGGGGGTGGGAGGTTTTAAAATTTGTTCCTCTAACTCTAGTAAAATTGGCCCCAGGTGTCTTACTTGAAAACTATAGTCTACTAAATAGTTTGAGTAAATGTTCTCACTCAGGACTCAGTTTGGGGCTCAATTATTTTATCTAGAACAATCTCAAAAGTTGCGCCACATGCCAGAAAAACGAAGTCCATGTATAAAATCTCATCATGAAGTCATCAACCATAAGACTCTTCCCAAGCAGTGTGTAATATTTTTTTAATGGGGCAAAAAAAAATGTATTGCCCTTTCAGTATTTACCCTACTTTCTTATCCCTGGGATATACAAATGTGAGGATTTTGTTTTAGTGGATTCACCCTTCTTGCTTTAGTTAGACCCTGGGAGCTACAACAGCCTTCTCTTCCCCAAAACTCTAAAGTCTTGTCCTTGGAATGGAGTAGAAACCAGTATAAATTTGTGAAGACCTCATAGACAAAACAGAAATATGAAGTGGTATAGAGTTAATCATGGAAACCATAACGAAGTGGCCTTTTGGAGCATTGGAAAAAAAAAAAAAGACTTACTTGTTGTCTAAGTTGGCTTGCAGGTGTGGGCCCCCAACCTAAGGGGAATTTCATGATTTACAGCCTGTTGACATCTCCAGACAGACAGGAAGCCAATGAATCGTATGTAAGTGTGCATTTCTGGACTGGCTGACTGTACTGGAGGCAGCCTGAAGTAGCCAAAAGCCAATATAAGCAGAGATTTGGGGCTTAGTGCTGATTTTCTGTGTTCAGCAGCATAGCTAATTTGCAGCTTTCCCAGATAGAGAAAGCTCTCCAGGGCAAGGTTCTGTGTGTGACTGTGACCAGCTTCATTCAAACTAAGTCCACTTTGTATCAGACGTGGAGTGGAACCTCCTGTCACTCTAATAACATATTATTTTACTTTGTGAAAAAAGTAACAGAAAAAGTTAGGCAACCTATTCCTGAAAGGTGGCATGAATCCACCTACAATTACAAATGAAATCATATTTTCCAATTGGCCTACTTTATACTTTCACATATGAGGTTTTTCACTCAGTATTGACTTTTAATTGGCTGTGACTCCTAGTGTTTTAAATTTCTCTACGTTCACTGCCCAGTTTGTTATTCTCTGAAGAATATTAAACATAACAAATTTTTATACCTTGATGGAACCAAGAATTCAAAGAAGCCTAGGGAGATTAAGAACGAGTTGCCTGCTGAAGTTCATGCAGCCAGCTAGTAGCAAAGCTGAATTTATAACTTGGTCTGCTCCACTCCAGCACTGAGATATTTCTGCTATTCCACAATTATAGCAAAATCAATGTAAAGAAAGCCTATAGTAAGGGTTTTTTTGTGTTTTTTTTTTTTTTGGTAAAGGATACA